TGTTTTCCCGCTTGACTTGTGCTGTTTGCTTTGTCACCAAACTAGCCTGACAAGCGCTCTTTGATGGCCCAACGCTGCTCAACTGCCAACTGTTGACTTGATGTATACTCTCATAATGAGAAAGTTCCATCTGAATATGGCAGCCAACATGAGGAGACGTCTGGCCTCAAAACTTCCAATTTCTTCCAGACTGTGCTGCCATTTTGGGTGTGAAGCACTACTTCCCCATCACCCTTACGCTTGCTTCCTCTTGCTGCTTCAACTTGCGTTTCCTCATTACAGCCATCAGCTTTTCCTCACTCTCACACTGGAGCTCATTCTCTTCTAGAAGTACTCAAGGGTTTGTTCTTGGTTTTTGCCAGAGGCTTTGGAAGTGTCTGAGGCGGCGTATGGAAGTTTGGATCATTGGAATTCTTCTGGTATCCGACCGTGTACTCTGAAGTTGAAATTAAACAACACAAAAGACTTTTGTTTTAATGCAGTATGGTTCCCTTTCCCTTCCTCTACACATGTACTGTATGTTTGTGTGTCTTTTGTGATGGCATTAGAGATGTTCGGTATGCAGTGGGACAGGGCCTCTCTATTTAGGACAGCTGGCCCAAATGTAATTGGAAAAGAATTATGGCTTAGGCCTTTTAGCGAATTAAATATAACCTCCGAATTGAGAAGGTCATATGGGGGAGGAGAGGAGAGTTTAAACACACCACCCCACTCTCTGTTCCACTTTAAAGGAATGTTCCGGGTTCAATACTGGTTCACACTGTTGATTACCACTAAAAATCAGTGACTCGTTGCCCAGTTTGTGAAAATAGAGGAATCGCATGTAATGTGAATTCAAAAGAAAATATTTATTACATTCATGAAGTAGCTACCCTCTAAAAGCTATTGCTTTACACTTTTTTAGGTGTATTACCGTAGGGCAAGCCCTATTGCATGTCCTGAGTGAGGTACATGATAGTGATGGGATGATAACTGTTTTCAAGGTATACCGCGTTTTGGAAATGTCAGGGTTTTAAAACCGCCAACATTTTTTTGTAATACCGTTCCTAAGGTATGTAGGTTTTTTTTTTTTTTTTTTTTTACTTTTTTTTGTTGTTTTTTAGGACAACACTATCTTCAGCAGAAAAAAGTCTCCAAAGATGTTTTAAATTGTAAAGAAATCTGAGTTTCTGAAACTAATGAAGACAGCAGAAGTGAATAATGTATTTGAATTATTTAGCCTGACATGTTTACTGATCCAATATTAAATGTTACTCAAAATAATAATATATTGTGATATATTGAGCAGTGATCACAATAACGTGAAACCATGATATTTTTACCCAAGGTCATCATACCATCAGAATCTTATACCGGCCCATGCCTGGTACATGATGCTCCAGGGAGTAAAATCTGAGAAAGAGAAAATAAGATTGAGGAATAAGAGTCATACAACCTTCCTTTGGCTTAATTATATCTTGTCTTGACAAGAGACCAAAATAAAGAAGCTTTATTTTTATGATTTGTGTTAATGTCATTGTGTCTGATCGCATGCCTAAAATAGTAGGCTACCTAATAAGATATATAGATATAAATAAAATTTTAAAAAGTTGAATATTGGTTCTGAATATTGGAAAGGTTGCAATATTTTGTTTTTCGAAATGAATAGTATTTCACCAGATGGCTTGAATAGCTCTATTTGGAAAGAAATCATTCATTTAGATTGATTGGGGTCATTTTTTTAGGGGAGTGAATCACGCATTAAAAAAATGAACACATTGCAAGCAAATATAAATACAATAGAGCAAAGATAAAAGTGAAATAAACAATAATTCTCAGAAAGTCATACAGTATTCAGGTACAGAGATTGAATGTTAAATATAATGTTGAATGCAAAATAACACTGCATAGTCTTCATTATATTAATAATTCACTTAAAATATTTTTTATTAAAGGTACATTTTTTTGCTTAAATGCATGACCCCTGATAAAGCAAGGTCTAAGCCAAATAAAAGGGATTGAGTGAGTATATAGTTGATTGAACAGCTTGCAGCTAGCTCTCTGCAACTCTTGGTCACCCACTGAAGCTAAGCAGGGCAGTGTCTGTTCAGTACCTGAATGGTAGACCACATGGGAAAGCCAGGTTGCTGCCGGAAGCAATAGTATGAAGCTGCAGGCTCGGAGACCCAACCGCACGCTCAGACCTGCTTGCTCAGACGGCTAGACCTGCACTTCCAGACCTTCACAGTGCCACCTGCTGTTTAAAAGATCGACTAACCTGATTTCAGCTGCTTCTAAATTGTAATTTAAACTATTTTTCTACTTTAAAATATTAGGCTATGATTGAATAGATTATTATATGAAATATTAAACGTACTAGATTTTTGATTTAATGCAATAATACTGTTGTATTTTTATTAATTGTAATTGTAAATATATATTGTTCAGTTGCTTCAATATTTTCAGACATTTGTTGTTGTTTTTTTATCATTAAGGATTTATCACTGTTTCGTATTGAGTTGAGGGAATGAATATTATCTTCATATACAATAAATTTCTTCACATACAATTATAGTACTCTAAGTAATTTTCTCACAACAAACTTTATTTTTGTGTACTTTTTCATAAGGTCCTACAAGTCAAGTTGTAAACAATGCATGGAAAAATGGTGAAAAATAATAATTGGAGTAATAATTATTTTTTACGTAGAAAATAACATCAAATAAAATAAATGCTTTACATTCTTATTGGGAAGATTTTTCATTTCTAGAGCAAAAAAACTGGAATATCTTCAGTCTTTGGTACACTGTATTAGTGTTGGCAGAGACCCACTTTTAATTAAAAAAATTAGTTTTGATTTCACCTAATAGAGCTCATATTGTAAATTCTATGCAAATTTAATTAATATTTTGATTTCCAAAAAACGTGTTTGTAATCATTACAGAACTTATAAATAATTGGTAAACTGTTATTGTATTACTGTTATTGTCTTTGGTAGTACTTTCAGATAGATAATACAGTAATATGTACAGTAGACCTATACAGCACTAAAATATGTTACAAATAATAATTGTGCTATATATTATAGGCTGCATTTTATTTGAACTTTTTTACTTTAAAGTTTTTTTTTATTTTGCCAGAAAACATTACTAGAAAATTGTCCCAGAATGGTACAATAACAGATAAAATAAGAGCAAGCTGTAAATATCATAAAATAATGCTCTTTTGACACAAATTTTGATCAAATCAATCACTGAAATAATTCTTTGTTAGTGTAATATTTTACACCACATTGATTTATGCCATAAAACTTGATAATTTTCAGGAATCGCTTCAATAATCAATAACCTTACTGGCGTTTCTGATGTTGCTACTTGCTAGAAAGTGCTGGTCTGAGTGTGCAGTTGGGTCTTCGTACCTGCCGCTTCACCCAACCCAACAGCAGGGGGCACTGTCTGGTCTGGAAGTGCAGGTCTGTGCGCGCAGGTCTTTGCGTGCAGTTGGGTCTCCGGGCCTGCAGCTTCCCCTTACTCGCCGGAAGTGGTGTTAGTGAGTCCTGCAAGGGGTGCTCAACCTGCATTCTGTGTTGTCCTAACGACCCAGTATAGTGAAGTGGACATTAAACTGACTCTCTGACGTCATTAAAAATCCCAGGATGTCCTTAGAAAAAGAGTAGGGGTGTAACCCTGGTATTTGCCTATTTTTTTATTTGCAGATTTGCCTCTGTCCATCATGCTCATATCATAATTGGCTTCATCAGTCTCTCTCCTGTCCACCAATCCAGTTTAACTCCGGTATCCTGGCCAGGTTTGCCTCTGTACACCATGGCCATATAATAAATGGTTTCATCACTCTGTCTCCTCTTCACCAATCAGGTTTAACCCCAGTATCCTGGCCGGATTTGCCTTTGTCCATTATGGCCATATCATTATTGGCTTCATCACTCTCTCTTCTCTGTGCGGTGTGCGGTCTGGCGCAATATGGCTGTCGCCATGCCATCCAGATGGATGTTGCACACTGCTGGCGGATGAGCAGATTCCTGCCCAAAATGTGTAAATCGCTATATAAATGTAAGAATGTATTATTAATTTTAATATTAATTATTAAATAGATTTTGCAACACCTAAATATCTACAATATTAACTTCAAGCTTCCAATACAAGTGACTGATTCCTGAGGACATTTACAAGAAACAAAGGCATCATCCATATTAACTTTAAAGTACTGAACCACAGGTGATTTGATTTGGTGAAATTGATATATAATCTTATATGAAGTCTCTTTCAATCAATCTTTTGATTCGCTTTAAAAGGAAATACTTGCGATGAATCATCCAAATTTGACTCCACTTAAACCGTAAAATGACATTTATGCCAGTGAATGCTGTGGAGCTCAATCTGGTGTAATTTGTTGGATATTTTCATGACTTCCAGTAAAACTAAATCTCTTATGTGTTGCGTTTTAATCCATAGTTTGACCTTGTTAGTGGACAGATTCAACAAATGAGAGGAAAAGGTGTGCTTTAGGAGTTCATAGGGCTAAAAACATCCCTATATATACATTTCGGGGTTATTCTTAGGTTGATGTTTTCGGTTACCAAGTGCACTTGTGGTGACAGAATTGAACTACACCCATATCATGTGATGTATCACAATGGCCTTTCGCTCATCTTCTGTTCTCTGTGTCTCTTTACCCTGCTTCAACTCATTACCAGCCTTTGCTAAGGCATTTGCTAATCTGATTGGTGGCTCATTTATGTCCTCCTGACTTTATTCTATGCTGCTTTATGTGACAGCTTGAGTCTTGGCCCCTTCTAAAGGTGGATCGCGAGTTGAAAAGCTAATATTTGTGTATTTGTCAGAGGATTATGAGCATGCGGGGTTGTTTAGATGGACCGATTATGACCTTACAACCATGTGCATGTTCATTTCCAAACTCAAGTCACCAGATGTAGAGGATTTCCTGTGTGTATATGTGTGTGTGAGTACAAGGGGTTGGGTATTTACTCTAATGTGTGTCAGTACACAGGACCTGTCCCGGCAGACCGCGAGTCTCCGATGACGCGGAGCGAGACGTCCCCCAGCCGCGCCCAGCACCCCTCCCCCACACAGAAACCCAACACCTGCTGCTTCTGCTGGTGCTGCTGCTGTAGCTGCTCATGGTACGACTCGCTCACCTGTGTCTGTCTCCACATGGTACATGCATTCCACTCACCACTGCTGCGAATGTTACATTCCACATTCATTCCTTCACTGAGATTATATTCACCTCCATATCGAGTGCAATAGTCAGTGATGATGTATTTCTGTAGGTGTAGCGACACCATGATTCCCACAAAAAAAAAAAAACTTCTATTGGTTTTTGGATTATTTAAAGGCAGAGTTCATCCAAAAACGAACATTCTGTCATAATTTACTGCCCCTTCACATGGTTCAAACCAATCGCAAAAGAAGATATTTTGAAGAAAGTTGGAATACTCTAACCATTGCCCTCCTTTGGTTAAATGTTTTTAGCTTTCATCAAAATGTCTTCTTTGGTGTCCAACAGAAAAACGGAACTCATAAAGGTTTATAAACACTTGAGGGTGAGTAAATAGTAGGGCTGCACGATATTGGAAAAATCTGACCTTGCGATATTTTGTTTTGTTCCTCATATTTATATTTTGATATGAATATATTTTGACCAGATGATTCCAATGTCTCTATTTGGAAATATTTAATTAATTTTGATTTGACTTTGACCTGATTAAGTATTTTTCTATGCAGTGCATCTGCAAAAAAGACAATTAAAAATGTAAAAAGAAATACATGTGCTTTATTCATAAACTAATTTTGAGAGGATCACATGCTTATGATCAACACGGCTGGCTCTTTATTAGCTCCGTAATCTCCCCTATTAGATGATTACGGAAGCATTATAAATAATCTGAGTTTTTCACTCCAGTTATCTTCGTCTTGAAGCTCCACCCCTACATCCTCCCCCTTTTCTGACAAGGCGACACGGTGACCCAGTGGCGAGCACTGTTGCCTCACAGCAAGAATACCCCTGGTCCAACCTATCGGGCCGGTTAGTGTTTCTGTGAGGAAATTGCATGTTCTCCCCTTGTTCGCGTGGGTTTCCCCTGGGTTCCCCGGTTTCCTCCCACCATCCTCAAACCATAGCCAATCGACTAAAACAAATTATCACCTAATACAACCTCAGTTTACATTTCTCACGGCAACAAGCAGGGGAGTTCTCGAGACCTACCTGAGCATGAACTCCCCTCTCGCCCTTCTAATGGGAGGGAGCCCCGGGCTCGAGAATATTATGAGCTCAGGGCTCTCTCCCGGGACAGCATGCCAAATATGATTTGATTATCAGCTAAGTGTGAACTCTTGAAACAGATCAGGGGCCGATCACAACAACCGCTCCTTTTTTGAATGGTTTACTAACGGCCGTGAGCATGTGCGCGCTGCTATTCGTGCCCTGCATGCCTTGCATTTTAACCGTCTGCTGCGCCTTGCATTTTTACCCTTGCGCTCGCAGTTGAAAAAAGTGTCAACTCTGAGTGGAAAAAGCATGTTATATCTGTCGCGTCTTTTTCATTCTCCAAGTAAATGAAAGCAGAGGCGGGGTTTTCGTTGAAATGTCTGTATTGTTTGTTGTCAAGACAACTATGAAGACTTCTGGTAGCTGCTTTTAGTTATGCAGCAGTCACACTAGAGTTTGTGCGTGCAAAATTCTGTTGTACGGCGCTGCAAAAAGGAGCGGGATTAAACTACATGATTAGACATTAAAAAAGGGAGCGATTGCTCCATGTTTAAAATGTTTGTCCAGAGAGGTCATATTTTGATCCTAGATTGGTCTCACGCAGTCAAGTGATGCGATTTCGCAGGTCAGAGTTCACCAAGCTTTAACTTTCCAATAAAGCGAACTGCGAAACTTGTTGCATGAGCTTGCGTTGACGCATTCGTGTGTGTATGAATGGAACTCTATGGGGAGTAAAGTGCAGAGTGGCCTCAGTTTTATCTGGTGCTGCATGAATCAAAAATCTTGAATATCACAATATTATTAAATTCGAAAATTTTATTAATATCAAAAGCAACACTCGCGCACATTGCACAGCTGATTCAGTCTTTGCCTAGCGCCATTAAAAATCACACCATGCTTTTTTTTTTTTTTGTCAGCAATAAAGGCAGTGATGTGCGTCTCATTTTGATAGCATGTGATTGGCCTAAATAGGAGCTTAGGAGCTGAACACAACGATCACGCCAAAAACGAGAGGCGCACCACCTTTTTGGTTGAGAGGAACAAAAACAAGTGCTGTGCGCTTTTTATGTCGCTAGGCAATGGCTGAATCAGCTGCGTAATGTGTGCGATTGCTGTTGATATTGGTATAATTTTTATATTTAATAATATTGTGATATTCAAGATTTGTGAAGTCATATAGCTCTGGGTAACTTAAAACAGAGACCAACAGTCTTACCTCTATCTTTAAAAGTGTCTGTACTTGTCTTGACAACACAAACACTGCAGTCGCCTTAATGGAAACCCCGCCTCTGCTTTCATTTGATTGGTAAATGAAAGAGACATGACTGACGTTACAAGCTTTTTCCACTCAGAGTTTTTTTCGACTGTGAGAGCACAGCGTGCAATTGCAAAAACACGAGGTGCAGCAGGCGGTTAAAACGCAAGGTGCGCAGGGCACATAAGCAGCGCGCAAAATGCTTGCAGCCGTTAGTAAATCATTCGAAGAAGGCGCCTCTCAGCGCAAAAAGCATGTTCGGTGTGATCAGTCCCTAACAGCATTCAAATACAGAAGTTGAACCATCGAACGAAAAATAACTTGCTCATTATTGCATAAATAAATACTTAACGATATGTTTTAATTCTTAATCTTTTAATCATCATAAATAATCTAATTCAACGTGACTATTGTGGATACACACATTGTGCTATCAATGCTCAAACCATCCATTGTTGAGCCCTAGTAAATATTGTGTGCATTTTCATTTTTGGGGTGAACTGTCGCTTAAAATGAAATAAGACATGTGAACAATAAACGTTTATAATGTTTAATATCTCAGGCAACCTCTGTAGTCCTGTTTATGCTCTTACTAGTGTAACTGAAGCCAGCTAGCCAGAGATTTGTGAGTAAACCTAACTTCGATTGCCTAAAGAGTTACACTAGCAACTAAAGCTAAAACTGGGGTGTTTAGTCCTGCTCCGAGATAGATATAGCAATTTAATGTCAGACGAGTCCACATTTTTTCTTGCAAAACAGTATCTGTGTTGACAACGGTTAATGTTACATAGTCTTCAATCAACACTTTAGTGAAACATTCACTCAACATCAATCGGAAAGCAAAACATTATATTCAAACATATAAAGCAAGACAAAAATCTTCTACATATTTACAGTGCATCAGCTTTTTTTCTCCATGATTACCTGAGCAACAAAAGAGTGTTTAAGCTTGAATTTGTTAAATCTTGGAACCCTATACCTCCAGTTTGAGGTTCACAATTAAAACTCAATATGCAAAACATGGTTGAGATAAGAATTATATTAGCTAATCTCATCAAGTTGTTATGAAAGACTGTCATTTAACTTTTCTAGTGGACCAGCGTCCTGTAGACTTTAGCTTTAATCTGGCCCAACACATTTACTTGGAAAGTTGTAGGCAGTCTCAAGCTGGTTAAGATGTATTTCATTGGGGTAAATGAGCTAAATGCAGTATAGTGTCCTTATTAGAACATGTTTGGACATCCCTGCTTTAATGTCCTTGGTAGCATCCTGTAGGAATACGCCATCACTGGAGCGCTCTGTTATAGATATTGTTTCATTCCCATCCTGCTGTATTGCTGTATTCCTGCTCTTGTTTTGTTGATTAGAAAACAACATCATAGGCTCATTCTGAAAACGTCCCCCTGTATACATTTCTGGAGATCTTTAAAATGAACACTACTGGGCAGTATGACTCTGTTCCTCTTCGCACATACCAGCTGACCGGTTACCTCCATATAGACGGCTTTATGGTTACCAGTTACCAGTGGTTCTCTACGTACATTGACAGACTTGAGACGCAGAGAGGAGTTGACCACGAGGGGAGGGTTCGAGTCCGGCAATTTCAGAAAGAGGGTAAAACAAAAACAGAAGCCAAAAAATAAAATAAACAAGTAAATAACAGGGTGAGAATGTGGTCAAATCTGAAAACGAGAGCGTTTCAATCTGGCGAGGGCTTTTTCTGCCGTTTTTTTTTTTTTAACACTGTTGATTGGGTTGGAAAAGTGGGTGGGCGGGTCAATCTGTGTTTTTGAAAACACTATTGGTTGGATTTAGGGGAGGAAGAGGGTGGGTCAGTTGATCAGTCAGCCAGTCAGTCAACATCGGTCTCCGGTGGATTTATGTGAGAAGGGCAAGCACGAATGGCACTCGTGAGAGAAATTTGAGATCTCAAATAGCGTACACAGCGACATCTGGTGGATTAGCGAAAACAAAACTACAAAAAATGTACCTCCTAGGACGTATTTGGCGCTCTTCAGAAATGTATATAGTCAAAATGTACGTAAAAATATATATGTACATAATCAGAATGAGCCTGGGTTGCTAGCAAATGTACTTATTTTTGTGAAAGAGTCATATTACAAGAAATCAAATGCGCAGTTGATTGAATCGTATTACTCAAGCAAAGAGGTTTATTTAGAAGGCTGGCAAAAGTTAAATAATTATAAAATCAAACATTCTTGATTATGTTGCGTTTACCCTTAAAGCTTTCTCATCGCACCTATTTGTGGTAATAGCAAGCTAATAATTAAAGCTTGTTTATTTCAAACACAATTGTGGTCTAAAATAACTTGTTCTTGAGTAAAAAAATAGGTAAATAAAGTATATTTATGGATCAAAGACATTTTGATTTTGAAATCAATTGGTGTAAAAAAAGTAAAGTTTCAATTTCATTTGATACATTAGAGCAGGGGTGTCCAAACTCGGTCCTGGAGGGTCGGTGTCCTGCAGATTTTAGCTCCAACTTGCCTCAACACACCTGCAAGGACGTTTCTAGAAAGTCTAGTAAGAGCTTGATTAGCTAGCCCAGGTGTGTCTGATTGGAGTTGGAACTAAACTTTGCAGGACTCCGGCCCTACAGGACCGAGTTTGGACACCCCTACATTTGAGTGTGTCCTTCCTAAACAAAAATAAATAACATATAACATATATTAAAATCAAACAAAGTCATTCAGTGTAACAATTATTCATGCAGCAAAAAAGTTGTCCAGAATATTTAGAGCAGTAGTCACCAAACTTGTTCCTTGGGTGCCGGTTGCCTGCAGATTTTAGCTCTAACCCTAATCAAACACAGCTGAACAAGCTAATTAAGGACTTACTAGGTATACTTGAAACATCCAGGCAGGTGTCTTGAGGCAAGTTGGAGCTAAACCCTGCAGGGACACCGGCCCTCCAGGACCGAGATTGGTGACCCCTGATGTAGAGCTACAATCATTTGAAGATATTAGAATACTGTACTTACATTATATTTATTATGCTAATTAACTGTCATTTTAAACATATCCTTTAGATTTTAGACAACTAGATTTTACTCAGTTGTCTATTAAAAGTTTTTAAATCATTTAGCATGCTCACTTATTCGTTCATTTTCCTTAAGCTTAGTCTTGCATATGATTTTTACACAGTGGATGCCCCTCCAGTTGCAACCCAATACTAGGAAACACCTATGCACACCCATTCACACACACTCATACACTACCAATTTAGTTTATTTAATTTATTAATACTGCATGTTTTTGGACTGTGGGGAAAACCGGAGCATCCGGTGAAAACCCATGTGAACACGGGGAGAACATACTCCGAACAGCGACCTTCATGCTGTGAGGCGACAGTGCTAACCACAGAGCCACCGTGCCACCTTGATCACTTACTCTTTTACATATTTTATATCCAAGTGAGTATAAGTTTGCTTTTAGGATAATAAAACATTATTTCACCATTATTTTAACTTTTTGTTTTCTACGCAAACGTTAAAGCAGACTTTTACTGTGCATTCAACATGTTTTATGTGTATATATAATAATTACATCTCATCTTTGACCCAGAATTATGATGCCTTTAATTCTCTTTAAAATCATCATGAACTCATTAAAATACCCATTTGCCGGTTTACTTTCCTAATACAGATTCTTGTTTTTCTTTTGTTTGTTTATATTTGCGCAAGATTCATCAGTGCACATTATCCTAAAGAAATAAAACGTCTGTTTTTGTAATCTTTCATCAAACTCTAATAACTTTTCCTTACTGTTGGTAGGGGGAAAATCACATTAACCAATAAAATCATAGCCTACTTCTTACAATACAATCAAATCCCTGTGGATAAAGTAAATCCCGCTTTATTTCCGGCTGAATATTCAGTTTCACTCAGAAATATGCCACATTAAGTTACTGTGTATGTGTTATGAAGCTCTCCCACCTACCGTGATATCAAGATCCCTATTTTTAGCACGGTGTATATGATATGTATTTGAATGCAGGTGAAAACATGCTTTTATAATCACACACACACATTTTAATTGCTGTGTTTGTGCTCCTCTGGATGAGTGAAATTCAAGCGTATAGTGAGTCAGGAGAGTACAGTGGTTAAGATTGCTCTCGTTTCAGCAGAATCCCCAAAGGGAAATGGGAGCCGTATTCACACCCACACGTCTTTCATGCACACGCTCATTTACACTCGTTCTTCGAGCACACCTGCTGCACAAAGGCATTTACTCTGACCGCTAAGGTCCAAACCCTGATGACCTTCTAATGACAGAGCTTCATTAGAGCTGATTCTGTAAAATCAGTGGGATCCAAACAACTCTGTATAAACAATTAATCATTTCTCGAAAAATTAAGTGTCTTAAAGTTCAGGCAGTCAAAAAAAAAAACAAAAAAAAAAACTCTTAAATAAGCATTTGAATGTTTTGGAAATAATAACTGGGACATTTGATATGAGTGCTATGATTGGTCAGATCGCCTGTCAATCAAATTCCCGGCGAAAGATCAAAATTAAAAATTGTTATGAACTGGTTTCTTGTAGCGATTCTGACCACACAGCGTGACCAGAGTAGCTGATTCCTTAATGAATGACTCCTATGAACCAGTTGTTTCTAGTGATTCAAAACAATACCTCATGACTGGTGCAGTTCAGCCAATTACTAAATAAATAAATTCAATGAATCAGTTGGATTACACTAGTCACGCTGAATGGCTTGATTGACTCAGAACTAAATAGTATAATCTGTAAAGCTAAGACAATTGATAGATGAATGACTATTATGAACAGAAGCATATTTTAGTTCAATTTCAGGGTGTCTCAAAATAGCACAGAGTACACTTAGATGGTATTAAGTTTATCTTAACATATACTAAATACTATCTTTTAGTACATTAAGTAAAAAATTTGTGTGCGAAAATAGAGCACTTTTAGTACATTACTGAAAAGTTTACTAAGTATTCTTACAATAAGTGCATTTTAGTGCACCTTTTTTACCTGGGTATACATCACTAACAGGGTAGTCGAACTCATTCTAAAATAAATGACTGCAGTAAATTGATTTCTTATAGTGATTCCGAGCCATATATTGCCACCAGTATGGGCCACTGATTGCAGAATAAATGACTGCTACAAATCAATTATTTTTAGTTATCTAAAGCTACAGTGGGACCAGTATTGCTGAATACTGATGTGACTCTTATTAAGATTATACTACTTCCCTAATAACTCCTATAAACTGGCTCTTTCTAGTAATTTGAAACTATACATAAAGTCCCAGGAGCATTTCCCAAAAGCATTGTTAATGGAAACAAATGCTGAACAAATTACTTTTTTTAGAGATTCTGTGTAACTAGTGTACTTCAATCAATTCCCAAACTAGTACCTCTTTTAAGCTAGCTCAAAGCCATAAGGTATGACTTGAAAATACTTATAAGTTCACAATCACATTAGAAACTCCCATTAAGTTTGCTGAGGCATGAAAAAGTAGTCCCTGAGCAATAACAAATGCTAAGGCCTCACATGAATTGACCTTAAATGTATGTACTTGTGTGTGAGTGCGTTGTGTGTCTTGGGTGTGTTGTTTTGTTCAGGCACTGCTGTTATTTCTCAATGCCGTTTTACCACCTTCTAGTCTCACTGTTAGGAGTGAAGATGACAAGCGCGGGCGGAGGAAAGCCCAGGAGACAAAGCTGGAGCCCTTTCCATGGGAAACATGGTGAGAGCACCCACAACAACCACACATCAATCAAATCAGCATTAATTATTACACTGAAAAAATTGGATCAAAGAAATTGCTTCAACTTGGTACACCTAAACGAACTTAATTCATTTAAAAACAGTAACAAATTAAGTTTATTTATTTACTTTTTTATTTAAGTATCCACTTTGTAAGCCAATATGTTTATAGGGACTTGAATATACCTAATTGTTATATCTCTCTGTCTCTCGCAGTCCCAAACCGACGATGGAGGAGATTAAACAGTGGGCGCAGTCTTTCGATAAGCTGATGAAAAACCCAGGGGGGCGGAACAAGTTTCGTGAGTTCCTGCGGACGGAGTACAGCGAGGAGAACATGCTTTTCTGGCTGGCCTGTGAGGACCTGAAGAATGAGATCAACAAAAGTGCCATCGAGGAGAAGGCGCGTTTGATCTATGAAGACTACATCTCTATCCTCTCGCCCAAAGAGGTACATTTACACACATCTAATTCAACACACACAAAAAGGCATTGTTGGTTTAGTGAATGAGTGCTTTATAATACTTTAAATTTCCTTTTACTCCTTTTCAGTACTCCTTTTAAGGCTCTTTGAATACATTCCACCACATAAGCTCTTGCGCTTTGATAGCAATCCAATCATATGTGATGGAGGTGGTTGAGAGTGGAACAGCTCAAGAGATTTTAGATCTGACATTTTATTCTACCGGTTGGATTATGCTACCGACACTGTATTTGAATGGCTTTGAAGTTTGGTTAGGTTGGGGCGGTATTACAGCCTCATATCACACCAGTCCAGATCCAAATTTACGCTGGTAGCACAATTTGATAGGTAGCATATTTTGTCATCAAAATGTGCTGTGCACTTTTTTTAATGGGTGGAAGGAAAATCTGAAAGAGAAACACAAATGACAGAACACAGGTTACAACTCTACTGTGATCCATGTGTGCTTGGATTGGGAAAATGCATCTTAATAATAATAATAATAATAATAATAATAATAATAATAATAATAGGGGTGACAGTGTGGCTCAGTGGTTAGCACTGTTGCCGCACAGTAAGAAGGTCGCTGGTTCAAATCCTAGATTTGATTTTTTGTGTGGAGTTTGCATGTTCTCCCATTGTTCATGTGGGTTTTCTTCGGGTGCTCCGGTTTCCTCCACAGTCCAAAGACATGCTCTATAGGTGAGTTGGGTAAGCTAAATTGGTTAAAATAGTGGATGTGTGTGAATGAGTGTTTTATTTATAGAAAAAAAATTACAAAGCACAGTGTTTGGGGTTCTATGTTCGTCTGAGATAATTATTCTTACCAAATTGTGTATATTCCATACGTGGTGCACTCGCGGGATTCATTCAACTGGGTGCGCACCTCCATTGGAAACAACGGACTTGCACAAACTCTAGAAAAGGCCTGATATGCAAACGGCCCCTAAAAGGGTGTATTATTTGTAATCTCCAGCTGTTGATCTTCCTGCACAGCCATGGTGGATTCACCTAATTTGTTGACAGATTGGTTCCTTGGCAGTTTGTGGTTTGTTCACTAGGCCAGTGGTTCCCAACCTTTTTCTCTGGGCCCCCCCCCCATGAACAAATACAAACATTGGAGCCCCCCCACCATATAAATACACACGCACGCACACACATATGTGCCGTATATATATATATATATATATATATATATATATATATATATATATATATATATATATATATATATATTCTTGGCTTTTCTTCGCCTCTGAAGAATCATTGCATTGACGTTTCTCTGCCATTTTTGTTTTGATTTTGCCTTTACGAGAAGTTGGACAAGCACATTGCGCAAGTGAGCAAAATGTAAAAAATAATTTAAAGTTATTTATTTTAATTATTTTTACTATTATGTTGGAATTTTAAGCATGTGTGTTGATTTTTTATTTTTTTTTGGTACTTAAAAATACATATATAATAGTAGGGCTGATTTTGGGAAAAATCATAATCACAATTACTTTGGTCATAATTGTAATCACAATTATTCAAAACGATTATCAGTTAAAGTCAAAATTATTAGCGCTGCTGAGAATTTTTTTTTTTATAAATATTTCCCAAATTATGTTTAACAGAACAAGGAATTTAACAGTATTTTCTCTAATATTTTTTTTTCTTCTAGGCTTATTTGTTTTATTTTAGCTAGAATAAAAGCAGGTTTAAATATTTTAAAACCTATTTTAAGGTCAATATTATTAGCTCCCTTAAGCAATATATATTTTTGATTGTCTGCAGAAGAAACTACTGTTATACAATGACTTGCCTTATTACCCTAATTAAGCCTTTGAATTGCACTTTAATTTGAATGGTTGTATTTTGAAAAAATATCTAGTAAAATATTATGTGCGGTCATCATAGCAAAGATAAAAGTAATTAGTAATCAGTAATTAGACATGAGATATCAAAACTATTATGTTCAGAAATAAGTTTAAAAAAAAACTTCTTTCCATTAAACAGAAATTGGGCAGGAAAAGGGTTGCTAATATTCAGGAGGGCTAATAATTCTGACTTCAAGTGTATACACAGTTATTTTCCACCCTGCAAAGGTAAGAGAAATAAATACAATAGAATAAAAATATAAAACAAACTGTGCTTTAAGCATCTCCACTGTAAGAAAAACACTTTAGCTACAAAAATCCTTCAGTCAAGAGCAGAGAAAAATTTTCTCCTTGTTTGATTAATCATAAAAACAGGCGGCAGCAGGAATATTTTGCGCTTTCTCTTTAATGGTTTCTCTTTCACGTCTTTTAAACCTCAACTCGTTTGTTTATTACACAAATGAGGGTTAATATAAATAATCACTAAACACCGCGTTTTGACACCTATTTGACCATTAAAGCGCTCACGTTAAGATGACTTTAGATGTCTGCGCTCCTCTGCTCGTCTCAGTGTGCGAATGCTGACCGGCCGCATGCTTCTGACTGCGTGTGCGTGTAGCACACACACACATAGGCACACGGTCTTTCGCAACACGTGTACAACTGGAAAGGGGGCGGTATATGATGCATATAATCGTTTATCTTGATTAATGCTTTTTTATAATTGTTTGAAATCGAAATCGCATTTTGGATTAATTGTACAGCCCTATATAACAGTGGAGCATTTTTATGCCTTTTTCTACCTCAACACTTATCCTCTCCCGCGCCCCCCTTGTGAACTCTGGCGCCCCCCTTAGGGGGGCGCGGACCCCAGGTTGGGAACCACTGCACTAGGCCACTTTCCAACTTCTATAGAAACTAGAAAAATCTCCAACTTCTTTGGTCACTAGAAACTTTCCAAAGATGTCTGTTTCTTACTCATTTTGCTGCTTGTGGGTTAAATTTGGGCGCTCAAGTGACCGAGATGAACCGAGAGAATATGGTCATTTTTCAAAATAAAAGATTTTTCAAAATAAAGGATCGTTTAGACTCAATAAATAAAAAAAAAAAAAGGAAAAACTCTCTCGTAGAACAGATGCCATGGTGATATAAATGTGCCATCAGGCCAGGTTGTAAAGGGTAAATGTAAATGTGAAAAGTAAACGTGTGAAATTGGCAACACCTCCAATGTGCAGATTCAGAGAAAGGATTCATAAAAGCATTTGAATTCCAGTATTTTTTATTCTTTTTTTTCCGTAAAAGGGTTTATCTTGGTTTGGTTTATAGTTAAAATGTTCATCTTAATGAGAAGAGATTTGAAGGATTGAAGATTTGTCTAATGTGAAATGCATTATTTTAAAAACTGTAATTAAATAGTTCTTTTGTACAATTTACAGTGAAAATAAGTATTGAACACGTCACAATTTTTCTCAGAAAACAGTTTAAAAGTAATGTTACCAGATGTTGGTAACAACCAAAGATATCCATATACAGTGATCCCTCACTATAACGCAGTTCAATTTTCGTGGCTTCGCAGATTTTTTTCGTGCATGCTTTTTTTCTACAGCGCATTGTTCTCTGCTTCCGGACTGGCTGTAGATCACTCTGTGCCATGTCACCTGTATGGCACAGAATGCATTCAGCTTACCAAATTTGCAGAAATCTAGCAGTGTGACTCTTAAGTGCTGTACTGTATGTTTGTAAGTTTCCTCCCCACAATGTCGAAGAAACATTCAGCATGGTTAAAGGCACCTGCGGTAGAACCCAAAAGGCAGAGGAAGATGCTAACCATCGCACAAAAAAAGTTGAACTTCTGGACATGCCAAAGAAACGTAGACGTTAAGCGGCTGTAGGGTGCCATTATGGAATAAATAAATGAAGATCAAATGTTTTTGATCTTTGGGTTTGTTCTATAAAACTTTGAGAGTTTAAACAAGAGAGAAACGTGTGGAAATCTTAATGCCTGTCTGAGAAAATTATATAAAGTGTGTAGTGAGGGTTTTTTACAGCCTTAAAACATCTATAATGATTGTAAAAAATAAAGCTGACTACAGTACTTTGCAGATTTCACTTATTGCAGGTTATTTTTAGAACGTAACCCCCACAAATAATGAGGGACCACTTTATGCAAAGAAAACAAATCGAATTAGTTTCAAAATTAAGCTACGCATAATAAAATAAACAAACTCAGGAAAACAAGTATTAAACACATGAAGAAAAGGAGGTGTAGAAAGACAATGAAAGCCCAGACAGCAGCTGAAATCTCTCATTGGTTCTTCAGCAACCCTCTGGCCTTCCCCAGTGTAAATGAATATTAACCGCTTCAGTCCAACATCAACATTAGCAGGATGAGGAAGATGAAATCAAAGTGGACATTTCAGCAGGACACCCATTCAAAACACAGCTAATGAAACTCTCAAATGCTTTCAGGGAAAGAAAATAAAGCTGTAGAATGGCCCAGCCAATCACCTGGCTTGAATCCAATAGAAAATATTAATTAAAGCTCAGATTTGATAGAAGAGATCCACAGAATCATCAAGATTTTTACACTTTGTTGAAGCCTGTGAAAAACTCATGTAACTTCATTCTCCATATGAGAGACGTTTTTACAGATATGGCTATTGAGAACGCTCGTGTGATTTAAAGAGAAATCACAGACTTCCGCAGTAAAGTGTGTCAGAGCACAACATGATCTAAAACAAGAAACACATGGCCAGCAGGGAGCAGTTATGTAACATGATGAGCATACTGAACTGATACAGTATGCTGAGCACGTGAGCTACCTGTAAACGGTGTGAAAACGGCATTATTAAGGCAGCTGTGTGTGTTATCAAGTTTAACTGTTTAAAATGCCAATTTTGGAGTGTCTATCTAGGCTAAGTGCAAAAAGCGCACCTCGTTGGAATAAGCTAGTCGAGTGCTTCTTGCCATCGCCGTTTGATCAACAGAGACAAGAAAACAAAAGAGCACTGCCAACAGCAGAGTAAGTGGCGTAGCTTGTAAAGCGCATGACAACATGTTTTGAGGCGATCAATCATGAACTCGGTTCGAATCCACCGCCTGATAAACATGTTTTTCTTTTCGCCCACA